AGAACAAAACCAAAATAAAATTTAAAAAACAAAAACAGTAAACCTTTTTTTTTCTGCGTAATGTTAACTCATAACTGTGTTACTTACATGAATGAGTTACACAGAGATATGTACCAAATTATTCAACATTTGCCTCTCACTGGCGAACCCTGGAGTATTACGAAGGGCATTGATGTTTTAAGCATATTTCATTTTTCAATATTATTCATATTGCCCTCTTCAAAACTCCTTTTGGCCGAAACAGAAAACCCTTGACCTTATTGCCAATAACATCTCAAATGTGGTCAAGTTTTTCAACAATGCACCGTCGCAGCATCTTATGACTCAATAATTTAATTGTTATTTATGTGCACCAGTGCATCACCAGGTTTTCCACACTCTCAAGTGCATCCGTATACACGGACATACCATCAAGTATTCCGGCCTTGGGTCCAATCGTGAAAGGCACTAATGAGGCACCTTAATATTGACGAGTTATTGCATTCTCTAAAATAATGACTGCATCAGACATTTTAGTCATGTACAAATCCAGAGCAGAGACTTGCCCCTTAATTTCAGGCAGTATTCGAACAGAACACAATAACTTTCCGCCAGTGCCTCTGAAAGTATAAAACAAATGCAGGTTATATAAGAAATTAACAAGCATTTAATTCATTACATTTAAATATTGATATAAATAAAAAATCAGTAAGCTTCAAGGTATATAACTATAGAACATACCAAGTCCACGGGCTGCAACATCTGTTGCAACAAGTATACTGGCACGGCCCTGTTTGAATTGATATAATACTTCATCTCTTTCTTGTTGTGTTTTGTCACCATGCATGCACACTGCTGGCCAACCATATCGTCTTATATTCCTAGTGATATTTTCTACTTTCCTCTTAGTTTCTACAAAGATTATCGTTTTGGCGCCAGGCTCTTGACTCTGTCCTATCTCTTGTAATAAAACATTTAACCTGCAAAAGATTGAAAATTACAAAATTGTTACAGTAGCTAAAATAACAGGAACAATTTTTATTTTCTTAGGTTCAGATCTTCTTAGAGGAAAATATTTAATTTTATTCACAATTGATTTCATTCTAAATAAAAGTCATCATGTTGAAAAACTTAGCAGCATTAAAAATATTTCTATAATACTCACTTATTTTCTTTCTCATGTTCTTGGCAAATATCAATGATTTGAAGGATATTATGATTCGCCGATAACTGCAGAGATCCAATGTTAATCTGAACATAATCTCCAAGATAATCTTCAGCTAATTTTCTGACTTCTTTCGGCCATGTAGCAGACCACATTAAAGTCTGTCTGTCTGGTCGAATCTGTTCAATGATTTTTCTAATTTGGGGTTCAAAACCCATGTCCAGCATTCGGTCAGCTTCATCCAAAACTAAGTATGTGCATCTTTGCAAGTTAGTGGTGCCTTTTTCTAAGAAATCAATTAATCTTCCAGGTGTAGCGATAACAATTTCCACACCTCTCTCCAAGTCACGACCTTGTTCTCTCTTGGGTGCACCACCAAATACACAAGTATTGCGAACATAAGCCGAGTTACCAAAATCAGTAGCAACTTGTTGAATCTGTTGTGCTAATTCTCTTGTTGGTGCAAGTACTAACGCAATGGGTCCATCTCCACGTCTGATTGGAGGCTGGTTGTTTATGTGAACAATAGCAGGTAAAATATAGGCAAGAGTTTTACCAGAACCTGTCTGTGCAATACCAACCAAGTTCTTTCCGGACATTGCAATCGGCCAGCCCTGGGCTTGAATGGGCGTCGGCTCTTTGTATCCCATGTTCTTTATACTTTCGTTAACATAATCAGGGAAATGACCTTCACCAAAACTTGTAATGGGGTTTGGAATCTCTACACCACTAGTCGTAATTTCATGTGTGCCTCTATACTCTTCTACTTCATAAGGTGATCTGTTCAGTACTGCAGAATGTGGATTGTAAAAGTTTTTGTTGAAAGGTTGCAATGACATGGAATCCCAGTTTGGGCGACGCATGTTTTGGCCGCCAGAGAATTCCTTTTTACTACCAAAACCCCCTGATCCGCCAAATCTGCCACCGCCTGCACCTCCGCCGCCGCCGAATTTTGACCCACCATTACTGAATCTCGACGCACCATTGCTGTTGCCGAATTTGTTTCCTCCGCCAAATTTGGAACCGCCATTTCCACCACGGCTATTGTTCCAATTGTTAGACCTGATAGAAAAATAAAATATTGCAATGTTGTCGTGGGTTTTGGAGTGATGTTATTTTATGATAATGATTTAACTGAGCTACACACATTTTAGATCGGGCGTTTTTGATGCAACGTGAGTTCACGCATGCGTAGTGTCATGAAATTTGGATCAATAACGAATATGGTGGGCCACAAAATGGCGCCTCTATAGGCAATATAACGGGGATTCCCTATGTATAACTCGTGCGAATTAACTGTGCACCTCGCTCTGTGACGTCATTCGGACGGTACCGTTTGCAATATAAAAAATGAGAATCATGTTTAAAAAAATATAAATTACCATTTTTTTTATGTTGATAAAAGGTCGTTTTGATGATAAGGCGTCATTTTACTCATGAGGTTTTGCACTTAAATTGATACATATGGACCGATATGATATTACAGCTTGACAATAAAGAGACGACAAAAATGAAGGCGCTAGATTTTTCATTGCGGGGACATTTTTGATAGTCTAAGATCATTTTTATATGTAATAATAAGTAAATGCGACGCTGCTTCTCCGTGGACACAATTTTATTTCAGATGCATGCAATCGTCAAATGAGATAGCGTACGCATGACATGCGGTTTACGTGAACAATAGGCTTAAAGTAAGACATATTTGAAAATAAAAAACCAAATAAGGTATAAAGACATTTATTTTAATCAATCGTTTTCGCTACTATAATTAATTTCTTCAACTCCCGACATGGTATCAGATTCGTCATCATCAATTTCGCTTTCAGGGCTGGATTCTTCGCCTCCAAGGGAAATTATAAATTCTCTTTCTGCTATTTCTTGGAGATGATCTTTGTACCAATACTCTTTTTCCAACCTTTCAATGTGGTTCGTTTCTTTCTTCCAGTCAGCAACTGTAATGGACTTTATAGCCTCCCTCGTCAGATTTTCAATTTCTCTCTCAGATTGAGTAACGTTTTTGTCTGCCACCCTTTGCTTAACTAAATTCCATATATATTCTATTGGATTTAAATCGCAATGGTATGGTGGCAGACGCAAAACTTCATGGCCGTGCTCTTTCATTAATTCGTCCACAATGTATTTTTTTGGAGGCTTATTAATTATAATCAAATGATACAATTCGCGTTTTGTCATTTTTTCATCATAAATTATGTTGTTGCTTCGCAGCCAGTTTTGCATATCGCTTTTGAGTGACGAGCTTACGGGAGGCTTTTCAGATTGCGTCGAATGATAAGGCGCGTTATCAATGACAACAATGCCATGTGGCGGCAAGTTTGGTAAAAGTTTTTCTTTCAACCATTTCGTGAAATTTTTTGTGTCCATTTCATGATGGTAGTCTCCCGTATTGCTCTTACATTTGTATAAAAGGTCGGCTCCGGGAATGAAACCATTTTCACCGCCCGCGTGGACTAGAATCCATCGTTGTCCGGGATTGTCATTTTTTTTAATACTTGCGTCGCTACTGTTTTGCCAACATTTAGCCACGGTATAATGCGAATGAATCCATGTTTCATCAACGTATGTCACCGGTTTTTTGTTCACTCCGAGGTCATTGTTCTCTTTCTTCTTTCGCAGGTAGCGAGCCCTCCAAGCGGCGATGTCAGGCTTTTGCATTAACACATGTCGCATATTTTTACATTTTTTAAATTTATAACCCAAATTGTTTATAAGTATCAGCCGCAATGTGGTTATTCCACCTGGAAAACATAAAATAAAGTTCGTTAGGTTTATATATTACTCATTGTCATATTATTATTTTGATATATAAGCCTCATAAATATTTTAGACAAGTTCTTGAAACCGAATTGGATACTTAGTTTGACATAGGATACAGAATAAGTTTTATGTAAGTATTACACGTATCACATCAACACCTAAATTTAGGGTGATCAGGCCATAGTCGACCACGCTGGCCCAATGCGCGTCGGTAATTTTATGTATTCTTTCTACATATTATCATACCTACTTATGTAACTTAAAATTGTTTCTGTAGATTGAAAACTAGACAGCATGTTAAAACACAAATTAAATGCTTACCTCGAAAATTTAGGTCCTTTTTTGCAGCCGCCAATATTTTTTTCAAAGTTGGTACTTCTTTTCTAACTGTATAGAAACTGTTGACAATGTTTCGCAATGCGCATAGATCAAAATTGTCCAGTTCGATCTTTTTGGCGCTTGATCTTCTTTTTTTGCCTGGTGTAGACAGTTTTGGTATAGGTGTTGGACCTGAATCTGACACCGATGATGTACTAGGCACAGGCGAATCATTTTGTCGTACAACCTTCGCTTCGTTTTTAATTTTCATCAGAGTTCTTTTTGATATACCAGTAGCTGCACAAGTTCTTTTTATAACTTTGTCTACAGGCATTATAAAATGTTTATTTGCTTTCTCATTTTCAAAGAATTTTAACACCTTTAATATAAGAGTCCTTGCCTCACTATGAATTGTCTTGCCCATAATGTTGGTGCAACGCGTCGAAAATGTCCAAACAAAAACAAACTTAACAAATCAAAAACTCAAAAGAAACAGTAATAACAACAGGGGATTGACCGTATTTAGACAATTAAAACGAGCCACGCGCAACGGTAACAAAGATGCTGTCGCTACTGAGCGCTTACGGCGAATGCGGGCGCCGCGCGGGGAAGCGGGAGAGGGGTCGCATTCCAGCGGAGTGCACAGTTGATTCGTTCGAGTTGTAGACTTATTTTAATCACACAAACCTTGACAATGACTGATATAAAATGATTCGCTCACGTGTTTAGATATCCAGAACCAGTTTATACACGTGTGAAAAAACGATGCATATTGGACATGACTCATAATCCGCATGCCTACATACAGTTTATAGATGACGCGGCATTGCATTGCATTTGAAATAGCTAGGTCAATTAAGTATTTAAAAATAATTTAAAAATTGTTTAACTAAAATTTAACATTTGACGGGATAGAACACGTATTTTAATAGGCACATTCTTTCAAAAAATAAGGCTATAAAAATGTATACGAAATATACCGCCAAAAAGAAATATACTAATTAGGTCGAAAATATGTTTCAAAAAAAAAAAATACAAAATCAAATTTTAATACTTACATTTTTAATGATGTGTCTTACTGTGAGATGTTAACAGTAATTCCAGATATATAGCAGGGTCAATCTGAAATCAAAATGGAGGACCTTGGTGAACAACTTGACGATCACTACTATAGTAACTGGCACACTTTAACACAATTTCAAATTAATATTAATATTTGTACCAAATAAATTAATTTGATTAATATATATCTTCATTACTAATATAAAACGCCGACGAGTGACGACCTACCTAGACCACTGCTAGCGCCGAAAGAAAGAAGAACTAAGCTGAGTGAACTGAGCTACTTCGGTTATTCGGTTCAGACTTTCAGATACCAGTGATGCCAACTCCGGAGTTTTCTCCCCAAATTTAGGAAGAAAAGATCTACAAAGGGAGTTTTTCAGGGGGTTAAATTTGTTGGGGGTATTTTTAGGGAAAAATAATAATTTGTGTTTTTTAACAAATTTACAGTATTTTCTATGTTTTTCAATAAACAGAATTCTTTAACGATTTTTTTATTCAGATTGAGTGATTCCAGTTTTAATAGATGTAGCTGTGTATATTACAATGCAATGAATAAATACTTGGTCCGTCTTTGGGAAGTTTTGGTGATTTTAATAATTACTTTAGGGGGAAAGTTTTTAAACAGTTGAAAACACTGTCAGATACCACCGTCCACCACCCAAGTCGTGAATGAATGAAAACAAATGATCCATTATTCCATTCAATCGACACGACAGTGCTGCCAACTGTTTAAAAACTTTCCCCGTAAAGCAATTTTAATAACCACTAAATTCACACCAAAATTTCACAACGTGTTTTTACACAACACATTTATTCATTGCAATATAATTAAATGAATAAATAAGAACTATTAATCATTGTTATTTAGTATTTTAAATTCTAAAACATTATGAAACGAACAAATGAAATTATGTCATTTACTCACAAGCGTCTTTTTAAATTCTTTAAAAAAGAATAGGTTTTTTTTTAAATTATCAAGTGTATATAATAATTATTTAAATATTTAAATTATTATAATTTTAATTAAGTACGAAAAACTTTCTTTGAAATCTTTTAACAATTTTTTTTTGGTTTGTTGATATAATCACTTAAAACACCGATGTCTAAGTGTTTATTTTTAGGATAAAAAATCTTTTTGATAATATTAGTATATTGAGAGGCAGGTAGTTGAAATAACTGATAAAAGCCCGTAGACCGATATATTTCTACAAATTAACCTTTAAGTAAAAATAAACTGTGGCTATTGTTTATGAATTAGTGGTTAAAATCTCTAATGAAATACTTAATATATCCTATTTGAGGTACCTTGCGGTCCCTAACATTCAACAATTCTTTTTTATTGATTTTGCCAATTCAGGACATACTTTTGATCTGTTCTTACACTACTACAAGACATAAATTAGTTTAATGCAATAGTATATTATTGTATTTAACCGTAGTATACTCATTGCTGTGGCATATTTAGACCTGCTCGACTAGAGTGATTACACTCACAGAAAACTCGCGCCTTTCAGAAAACCAACTTTCAGCAATTAACTTATTAATTAATTCTTTTCTTGCCCTTCACTGAGTAACTGAGATTACCAGACTAAATATTATTCTGGGGGGTGACTGCCAAAGGGCAGCAACGCACTTGCGACTTTTAAGTTGCAAGTGTCCATGGACGGCGATAATCACTTACCATAAAGTGACCAGTCTGCTCTTTAGCCGCCTGCTCTTTAAAAAAATATCATCATTGAAAGCATGTTTGCAAAAGAAAAAGCCATTTGCTATTGCCAAATTTTTAAATGAGTAATATTAGCCAACCAACCTTTGTTTAATTATGAACATGATTGCATCACCCAACAACAACATCTGTGTCACAAGCAGTACGGCATAAAGTCCATGCACTGTCAACATTTTGGCATGACCGAGATCAAGGCAGCTGCATCGACACAACACACGGATGGCACACAAGCAAATAGCCATCCATGTGTAATTAGAGTAAGATTAGTATATGAGTTGTAACTTTATGTGTGTCTGACTCATTACCCTGTCCCACCTCTTACTGCGGCCAAGACACTTTTCTTCTTCTTCTCTTTCGTGTCGCTCTTGGCAGAGCGGTCGCGGTCACATTGAGACGTCCACACCGCCGGCAGAGGCGGACACAGCTCTACGTATAACCGCGGGCCATCTCTCCCTGTTGGCAGACTCTCGGATAAAGTCAGACACGCGGCGTCCCATTGCGGATCTCACCTTATCAATCCCGCGCATAGGTGACCTACCATGGCATCTGGTACCCTCCACCTTTCCCTGCACCACTAATCACTCTATGGAGTCGCTATTCCACCTAGAGACATGGCCAAAATACTGCAGTATGCGCGACTGTACTGTGGTTGACAGACGCTCTGTGATGCCAAATCAAATCAAATCAAATCAAAGTTTATTTGCTATGAATGTAGGTACATCAAATTACAGATGGAATAGTTTTCATTGAACCGTGTACATTCTGCCTTCTGCATTCTGGTCGATACAAATTAAATTAAATCTGGAATGGATAAGTACAAAAGAAGAAAAAAAAACGAACAATTAATATTTTAGATGTCAATGACCGGACGGTCCACAAACTAATCATCAATATAAGCCAAGCTCCTGGAGTATGGACACGTCGGCGCGGACACACCTTTTGCCCTCAGTAAATCGTTCTTGTGAACCTATTCGACCAGCAGTGTGAAAATCATCTTCTAATCCCCCTTCCCATGTCCGTCTGTTGCTCTAGGCCTCTCGGTAACAGACTTTTCACACTATCTATATATGTATTTATACCCTCACTGCAGGGTCCGTATATTGGTAGGGCTAGGGAATCTAGGGAATTTAGGAATTTAAGTACTTAGGCTTAGGTAACGTACGAGTATTAATGGGTTCACTACGATGCCCGCTCGATACACGTACTTAGGTTAGATTTTTTATAGGCTTTCGGTGTTACACGTAGGAGTGCTGAATGGTGTACCATGGTTGCCGGTCCGCACCGATTGTGAGATAAATAACCTGTTCTATTTCACAGGTTTGCAGGTTTTCTAAAATGGTATTAAATTATTGTTAAAAAACATCACCACATCGGAAAACATAATTCTCAGCCACGCACTTACGCGCTGTCATGCAACAGGGTGGGGTTCGACTTTAAACATTAAGAGAGTAACTAGAAATGTTAGTGAAATGTTATTTACCTACCTACCCCAAAGTGCGAGGCTATAAATATAAGTTTTTGTTGTTTGGTTGGAATTTTGCGAGCTTTGGTGTTTATGCTGAATTTTAACCTATTTGTTATGATCAATGCATATCATATAGTCTACGGTAAAAAATAATTGTGTTTCGTTGTTATCCATAGCGTCGTTTCCTTACAAACTTTTTCATAAACATTAAATATGCTGTATATATTTATGTCTCTTCGTTTTATTTCCATTCGATAATATCGAAAATACGTCGATGGTTACTAAAGCAATACTATCGATACTATCAAAACGCGTCGAAAGACCATAGATAGTACCGGTCGATTTTCACGCGTTACTATCGATGCTTCGATAGAATAAATAGTATAATTCTAGTTCAATAGTATCATTTTATTTTCACTATCGATAATAGTGACAGTATTGCAGTGTCAATAGTTTTGATAGAACCATTCACGCCATCAACTGTTGTTCAAGGTCAACCATCGATGGCGAAACTTTCACTATTGGACAACACTAGTTAGTGACGTTCGTGATTCCCGTACCTTTCGTTCGTTGGTTAACCTAGTCAAAAACATAATAGTCATTAATTCGGTTCGCTCAGTTCAGTTCACTCACTCGTTCAATTCAACCACTCTTTTGTCAAAGTTACTGCGGTGAAATGCGGTGCTGTTCGTGATTCTCGTTTTATTTATTACTAAACAAAACACCAGTTATTGTTACTATAATATACTTTTAAATCTTGAAATTACTACTAACCATGGCGATGCAACCTCATAGTAAGAAGAGAGTGTGTTATTATTATGACAGTAAGTATTACAAAGTTTGTTACCCGCCACAGTAGTCGCTAACAGCGTCCATTCATTTTGCAGCTTTATGTCTGTTATTAGCTAATGAAAGATTAACTTATTACAAATGTTCTAGTAGATTTGGTTGTTTGCCTGCTTTAATAGTGATTAATTTTCTGAATGACGCTAATGAATCGTCTTGTGGCTTTTAATAGATTAGAACTTGAGTCACCTCAGGTCGTCTGTACCGCATTCTCGCCTCTCATTGGCTAAGAGCGATTCAGTCGTACCTTGGTATGTGTAGTACAGACTGATATGTGTCAAGCCACGTAATGAACTAAATAACATATTCATAAGAACTTGAAATTGATATTGAGTTAATGTTTTATTTATTTTAAGGTGATATAGGGAATTATTACTACGGTCAAGGACATCCCATGAAACCCCATCGCATACGTATGACCCACAACTTATTATTAAATTACGGTTTATACAGGAAAATGGAGATTTATGTAAGTAATTAAAACTGATTTGATTTGTCTTTAATTAGATAAATTGGAATGAACTTAATTAGTTTGCATGGTCTGATGAAATACTGAGTTTTTATTAACACACGAAGTGTACATACTTATAAAACCAACTAATTGTGTATAAAAATCTCATTAATATAAAAACTCTAGCACCACTTATTTAGTGCCCCATGTATGCAAATTTTTCATTTGTAAAATTAAAATGTGGTATTTTTCCGTTATAAACACATTAAACATATAGAAATAAAAAATAACACACTGTTGAGTACTGTAGGTAGATATATGAAATTAAAAAATGTAATTTTAAATAAGTTAAATGTATTTCAGAGACCACACAAGGCTACAGCTGACGAGATGACAAAGTTTCACTCGGATGATTATATTCGTTTCCTCAGATCAATTAGGCCCGATAACATGTCTGAATATAACAAGCAGATGCAAAGATGTAAGAGTGAGATATAGATTTTGTTATAATTGTTTAGTTGCATAGTTATTGTTTGTTAAACACAGCTTTCTCCTGTTATCAGTTAAAATTATTTGGTCAAGTTAAAAGTGTTAGAAATATGGGCTCAAATAGTAAACTTTATTTTCTATTTCAACAGTTAATGTAGGGGAAGACTGTCCTGTATTTGATGGCCTATATGAATTCTGTCAGTTGTCTGCTGGGGGTTCAGTTGCTGCTGCTGTGAAACTAAATAAACAGGTAAATTTTTAATTCAAAATAGATCAGCTCTCCAGATAGAGCAGTCTTATCGGAACAGCTGAAAGTTTAGTTTGTGGCTATATTGTATTTTTTAGTAAGTTTAGTTTGTGACTATATTGTATTTTTTTTTAAGACAACTCCTAAATGAGGAAACTAGAGCGCACAACCAATACCAAAAAGAAATGCACTAGAAATATATCCTGTACCACAGGGGACTTTACAAACATTGGAAACCACACACATTGAGCGTTATGTTAAAACTGGGTCTGGGCCCAGAACCACAATTTGTGGATAACACAAAGTGTTGCCCATGGTAGGAAGTGGGGAGGCGACTGCTTAAATCCTCACAACTTTTAAACTTTTATTGTAATTTATTAGAGATAAATCTGGTAACATAGGTAGCACCGTTGTCCAAGAACAAGCAGAGTTGCAGAAATCAACATTGCTAGCCTTTTGGCAATATTTTTGTTGGATAGCAACCAAAAACAACCTACTTAGTTTTGTTACACAAATAGGCCCAAAGGTGAACCTTTATATACTTGCAAAAATTAAAATTATTACTCTGTCTGGCAGGCATCTGAGATCTGCATCAACTGGGGTGGAGGTCTGCATCATGCAAAGAAGTCTGAAGCATCTGGATTCTGTTATGTCAATGATATTGTGCTTGGAATTTTGGAACTTCTCAAATACCACCAGAGAGTTTTATACATTGATATTGATGTTCACCATGGAGACGGTGTAGAAGAAGCTTTCTATACTACAGATAGAGTGATGACAGTTTCTTTCCATAAATATGGTGAATATTTTCCAGGAACAGGTTAGTACTATTGTTATACTAATTTGTTAAGTTACATTAAGTCTAATAATAATTTTTTTTAGACTGCAGAAAGAATTACACTTTGGTTTCAATAAGTGGAAAAACAACCTTAGGATAAAATTCTCCTTGATAACTAGACACCTTTTTTCACACACTTCAATGAAAAATTTGGCTTTTTCTTTTATGCTTTAAATTTGACCATAAACATTTTATAAGTGTAAAAATTTATTAAAAGACTGGGCAAGTATAAAAGTGTGCTTTTTGACTCAGTTTAATATCAACAATTATGTATTATACTCAAAACAAGTTACTACAAAAAAACACAAATGAAAACATGTTTTTTTTTAATTATAACTGGCAAAAATTTTGTTTCTTTTTATTCAAAGAGTTCTGACATGAATATAAATCTATGTTGTACGTATATACACATATGTTTAAATTATATATGGTTATATTATCAATGTACTTCAAACTGAACTCAACTCTCGTGTAAAGGGGCATATATATGTAGATACCTATACAGAGACGTCGGTAACGGTCTCAGTGTTGCGAGTTCAATGGATTTTTTCCCTTCGTAAAAAATACATTCTTTTGTTTGTTGATCAAAAATGCCCAACGGCATTTTTGATCAACAAACAAAAGAAATTTTTACTTCAAAAATAGGTGAAAGGAGGTTAAAAGACCTATTGTTCATAATCTTTCTCTGCTGTTGTGCTGCTGAAATTAACTAGAATAGTTAAGAATGGGATTAATTATGTTTTAGGTGATCTTCGTGATATTGGTGCTGGGAAAGGCAAATACTATGCAGTGAATATACCACTGCGTGACGGTATGGATGATGAATCATATGAATCCATCTTCGTACCTATAATATCTAAAGTCATGGAGACATTCCAGCCCAGTGCAGTTGTTCTGCAGTGCGGTGCTGACTCTTTGACAGGTTAGTTGTTACAGTGAAAACATGGCAAGAGGCAAACAGAAATTTAACTTTCTAAGAAACACATTCAGGACCCTAATATTAGTTTAGATTTGCTAAAATTATAACACTATACACACTACAATTATAATATTATTGAATATGAAAAATACAGAACAAAGATCTGTTTAATACATAATGTTTTCTTTTTATTTAAACAGGTGACCGTTTGGGTTGTTTTAATCTGACGGTTAGAGGGCATGGCCGGTGTGTGGAACTAGTTAAAAGATTTGGATTACCATTCCTTCTCGTTGGAGGTGGAGGGTATGTATAATAAATACATGTCTTGGTGTTTTGGTTTTTCATAAGTGAATTGATCTTGATATTTGAATTATATTATTTCAGTTACACAATTCGGAATGTCTCACGTTGTTGGACTTACGAAACATCAGTCGCTTTGGGCGTCGAAATCGCAAATGAGCTGCCTTATAATGACTATTTCGAATATTTTGGACCTGACTTCAAACTACACATATCACCAAGCAACATGTCAAACCAAAACACACCAGAATATTTAGAGAAAATAAAGAATAGACTCTTTGAGAATTTGAGAATGTTACCACATGCACCAGGGGTACAGGTAAGCTAATATAAATATTTCTTAATCTTTTGGAGTGATGCCTAAATAGATAATTAAAGATTGTTGTTAGTATAAACAAATATTCTAAAGACTGTTAATTTTGAAAAGTTCTCAAACTCAACTGCTGCTCAAATTCGTTATTTTAATTAAATCTGTGTTGGTATAATAGTTGTAATTTATTGTCGATTTTTTGGATAGGTACAAGCTATCCCTGAAGATGCTGTAAATGATGAATCTGAAGATGAGGACAAAGTTGACAAGGATGAGAGGTTGCCACAAAATGAAAAAGTTAGTATAACCATACATTTTTTGTGTTAATGATAGTAAAAATAATTAGAAATATATAAGTATGTTTATCAGCAGTCTGGTTACCATAGAACAGGCTCTGCCTTTTTTGGGATCAGACAGCCGTGTATGAGATGTGTGAAAATATTATTGTTATTATAATCAAAAAGAATACTTAAGTTACCAAAAGAAATTTGCTAGCAAACATTTTGCACACGGTTTTATATTTCTTAATTACTCATCAATAATGTCATAATTTAAAAAGTATCCTGTGCGACATTTCTACTGCAATAATCATTATGTTATGATCAGGACAAACGCATCACTGGTGATGGTGAGCTGTCAGACTCAGAAGACGAAGGTGAGGGCGGCCGTCGCGACAACCGCTCGTACCGAAACCCACAACCGCGCAAACGCCCTCGCTTAGACAAGGACGTGTCACAGCTTAAAGATGAAATCAAATGTAAGCACCATTTACTTATTTTATTCAACTTTACATGCCTTTAGTTTCGCACTTCCGGGCATCAGCGATTAATCTATTTATTATCTGTGCTACCACATTAATCTTATACAAAAATAGTGCTTTCAGCTGAAGACTCGAAGGACGACGTCAAAAACATAAGCAGTGCTGAAGAACCAAAGAAAGACATAGCGCCAAATCCCTGATGCGTGCGGTAGGCGCTAGCATTTGTACAGTACTCTTATCATGCGAAAACCATGATAGGTGAGACTCCAGTCCATACTGTGTTTATGCGCGCGTCTCATACACTGTGAAATAGTCATAACAAACTGGATATATAAGTGCCCCGAAATGAATTTATTTAATACCCAAACACTAAATTAAAGCAAGTGAATTAGTTCGGATTGTAAGTTTAATGACATACGTCTTCTTCCATATAACAATTGCTCTAGCTCTATATAATGAATGCCCTTGAAACGATTCAACTGTCTTCATAAGTAATTTTTTATTATAAAATTCGTCTAGCAATAAGAATATTGTAGTGGATAACAAAATGATAAAAATCGGTGTTAGCATAATGTTTGCTTATATTATCCTGAGAAATTGGAAATATTGTTTGGTTTCAATTAATTTTACAGTATGTTCACTTTTACTGTATGATAATGTAGATGTTAAATTAACATACATTATTCTCTGCATAACCTAACACTGGTGGATCACATGCTGAGGAAATGTTCACATTATGTGATCTAGAGAATTCCTCTAAGTTAAAGAAATGGTCACAGATTACACAATTTAAACAAAATTATCTCAAATCAAACATCCAAAGTTAAAACTAGACTTGTATAAATAGCATTTATAAAAAAAGTTTTATCAAAATATGTCGTACTCCGTAAGCAGCGGTGACATTAGTTTATACATAATTATCTCAGCAACCGATCTGTTAAAAAATTAGTAAAGGTAAGATTTTGCGGTTCTATAGAATTAATTAATGTAAAGTTAGAACAAATTAATCTATTTTATGAAATCCAATTACATACATATATTAAATTAATAACATTCCCTATGGGAATTGAGACCCTGTTTTGATTGTTAAGAATTATTTTGTTATCGACAACAAGGCATGTACCAAAATATGTATTTCTGTATTCTTGCAGTATTCGTCTTCATTCTAAGACATCTTCATCTCTGTTTAATGCTCTTCTATTGCATTTTGTATTTATAATAAGAAATTCCTACATTAACATTTTCTTATTTAATATAAGAATAGGGTATCTATAAATCGTTTGAGAACACTAGTGAAAAACAATTTTGTATAAATATTTTTAAAATACCTAATTTCGCCAGACTAGTAAAGCAAATGTGTTGCAGTCAAAAAACCTTGGGTTTTCTATCCAAAGTACCAAAATACACATTTATAATATTATAATTGTTAAAAGTAATTATAAAAACAAGAAAAATGTTTGGTCTCCACGCTGTTTTAACCTATTATCATCAGAAAACGACGTTGTATTAGAAGTTTCGTAAAGAAAACTAGATTAACTTGTGCACCTTATATGAACACAATTTCATCATTCTTTTAATTTGTGATTGTATAATATTGTATCTGATTTTACCCCCTATATGTATACTCGTATCTGGTGAAGTGTAAATTATAATCCTCACATTGATAAATGTCTCAATTTTTCATGTGTCACGTATTTTGGACTCATTGATGACTTACTTAAAAATGTAGTTATTGACATTGTGTCGACCGTCGTTGAACTTTTCGCTACGCAATTTCTTTACTTTCATACTAAAGTAACATTAACTTTGTATAATTGCAATATCTGCAAAAAAATGCATGTATCGTAACCACATTAATTAATTTACAATATACATGTTTCACGGAAAATGTTCAGAAAGATAAAGGGTGAATAATGACAAAAAAATGACTGTTGCATTAAGTAGCATAAAGACTGTAAATATGTTTTTTATTGTTCAATATACGAAACTGTGTCTAATCTATTCGTTTTAGTATTTGAGTTTTGCGATCCTTCAATCCTTTTAGAGAAGACTGTTAACCAATTGTTCATTCCGTTCACTAATTTTTGCCGACGGCTTGCGTTAAGAGTGGGTTCACGTCGGTAGTGTAGTGTAGTGACCAGTAGGTCAGGATTCGAACCTACGACTAGTGGTTAAGGCATTGGACTTGATCGCAAGTCCAATGCCTTAACCACTAGGCTACCGCCGCTTCTTAATATACTTTCTATGAATAAAAGATACCCTTCGCCTGACATTGTGAAAATTCAAAGAGTATCGGATTAGTCATAAGAATCAGTCAAATTCATCGGCTTAGGAGATTACTGTCATGATAAACCGTAATGGTTCTTGTATCGTACCAAAAAAAAAAGCTATGCATGTTATAGAAGAAGACAACTAAAAAACTTCAGATATTTTACTTTATGGTGTAAAAATAATAACAACAATACTTTTCAGTCTTGAGAGATATTGTTTTATTTTTGCATAGAGGGCAAACAAGTGTCACTGACCCTGGCATGGCCACTATCATACATTTTAATTTTGAAAACACAAAAATTTAGTTGCTAATTTGTCGCTAAATATAAGAATTAGTCGGTCACTGGTTCAAAAGTTATAAATGTTTATAGGGGGCCCTGTTGGGGAGACTGATTCTCAGTCTCCCCAGCAGGGCCCCGCTTGTATGTCAAAAGCTAGCGAAGATATGTATTCTCCCAAATTTAGTCGACATTTGTCGCCAAATATCGGAATTTTTCGGTCTTAGCTTAGGAGATATAATAAGCTCAATTTCTAAAGTAGGTACAGTCTAAGAGCTAGATTGCAGAGTTTACGAAAAATTATAATGTATGTGTACCTATTTCTAGTTTGGAAGTCCTTAGAAATGTCAGAGGGGTAAATTCTTAATTAAATACATATTTTTATGTTTTAGGTTACTACGTTAGAGTATATAAATTTATTTATTACAAAAAAAATATGGAAATAATTAAATACACAAACCAAAACTATAATGTTAAGCTCTATTTTACGTATGAATAATAAAACTTCTTAAAAAATAAGAATATAAGTACATATACGTTTAATATGCTTGTGTCCCCTAATAACAGATTACTTGGTTTATACTTTCAAATTACAAATGAAGAGACATAGATAAGAAAAACCCAGTCTATTTCTCATAAAAGTTAAAGATTATTAATATTTTTTAATCGAACAAAATAGCCATTAAGTCACGTGACAGTGAACACCAATCAGAAAGTGTTACGTCACGTCACGCAAGACATCATTGTTGTTGTTGACGTTTTCATACAACAGAGCAGGTTACTCCTTATTGTTTTTCGTTTTTAGCATATTTTCTCACTTTAATACAGTTTCAGTTGACACTGGACACAGATTTCAACAGTTTTGTATCGCAGACTGTCATGTCACTATTCAGCGTTTTCAAGGGAAAGGACATCATTCAAAATGTACCCAAAAATTAAAGTGCCGGCCAGTAAAAAAAAACTGTGTCCTCTTACGGCAAATGATCTTTTAAACATTTCTCATTATCACAACAAACGTCTACGACCAACTTTAAGACCCAAAATGGATCGCCGAAAATCATAAAATGAGCATTTACATTTATGTATGAATGAACTATTTCTGAATAATTAAAAACCTAAACAATGAAACTGACAACGGCGATGGTGTTTTAAATTGTTTTTTTAGACAAGGTGATGTATTTATTTTGGATAGCGGCTTCAGAGATACCATATCACCAATGGAGTCACTGGGATATTCTGCACATATGCCTGAAGACAAGCTCCGAAATGAAACCCAGCTGACAACGATGCAAGCAAATAAAACTCGCCTTGTAACTATCTGTCGGTGGGTTGTGGAGGTAGTTAATGTGCGTTTCAAACGGGATTTTAGATTTTCGAGACATGACAATATAAATCGTGCTCTTCCTCACATGTTTGATTGTTTTAAGATAGCGGCTGCTATAATTAATGCATACTATATACTAATAAATGACAATATTCATGCCCAATCCTTTGGCCATAATAAACCATAGAATGTCAATCCCTAACACGCTGGCTGATATAGTTGTAAGGCATAATTATAATAGAAGACGAGCACAATTTCAGCCGATGTCCGCCGATATGCCCGAGTTCGATGATTTTCCAAGGCTCTCGGAAGAGGATTTAATATTATTCAGTTTGGGTATTTATGAAATAAAACAAGCTAAAAGCTATTACGGCGAGCACATCAATCCAAATGGTGTTTTTACGGTCGAGCTTGGCGACAGACTTTTAACAGAACACGTCAGAGAATTGGGAGAAAACAATAATCATAAGAGGAAGAGTACAATCTCGGTATGTTCGGGCCAGAGTACAGAGTTTACATTGGCATCGACACATTATTGAGTGGCCGTGATGCCATACCGTATTATTATTGCTCACGCAATTTTGGCAAAAGAACGGTGGGCTGCTGTTCCCACACTATGTGCATAGTGTAGTGTAGTAATACATATATAATACGTATGTCTATCTTAAGATAAAAGTAGTGATCACTATTGTATTTACTGGAGAATAAATCTGATCGTTGATCTAACAACATCTTTAATTTCACTCTCGACACCCAACCTTACATGGCGACCCTGCCAGGATGCCTGCCTGCCTTTTATCTTAAGATAGACATATGTATTACTACACTACAATAGTGTGGTACATGACGTTCGCGAGGCACCAACAACCTCTCATAAATCCACCTGCATTAGGTTTAGAAAATGTTATCGTAAGACCTGCGGAATTATAACATATGAATAAAGCCACGTAGGTAACGAAATGAAGTCTTTTTCTTCACATATATTTTAGAACACTAATACCTACACATAAATACCTACGTAGGTACTTAGGTACCTAATGATGATATAATTACTTACGCTTTTTGTCATATTATAATATTATTATTAAGCGAGATTAAGTTATTCTTTATCATCATTATTTGATTTTTGCTATAGTAATGAAGTAAAAATTGTGCAGACGAACTCGTATAAATGCATTTTTTTATTATTACTAAGTCATATAACTCATAAGTAATCGGTCTTAGCTCTTAGTCGTCTAAAGAAAAAATTCTTAGCATGTCATTCTCTAACCGAGGGTTGCCTCGCTTCTGCAGCACATCAGGGATGTTTGCGGAGGCTCGCGTTGAC